GCAGGGAGACTCCGTTTGATTTTCAACAGCATTCCGGTGTGCCACACTCGATCGAACGGCTCCCGGATGTCCAGATAGAGTGTGTTGCAATACTCCTTGTTGTCGTACGCCATTAGTATTTGGTCGACAACTCTATGCAGCTGCTCCACTGTGCTGTGACCAGCACGGAATCAAAAAGTGCTTATTGCATTAAAATTAAAACAAAAAATGTTTTGCATACATTGGGGCGCTTTTAATTTTTAAAACTTTTTATTATTTTATAAATTTTATTGCGGCTTTTGTGTTTAATTCTATATTATGCATTTTCAAATAAACCTTAGCTATTAGAGTGGCTATTTGCTTTTATTGCTGCTAAGTCTAGTCTTTTTATTTAAGTCTTTACTGAGATCCAATCTTTAATCTTCTGTTTATTATGTTGCTGGCTAAATTGGCTGGTTTGGATGGGCAGTTATTCTGTCTGCTTACCTTGTGCTGTGTCGGCCAATGAGTTCTGCAATGACATCTTAAGGTCAGTGTGCAGGGTTTCGTTTCTGTCGAACCATTCAGCTTTGATCCATTTCCTTAGTGCTTTGTCTTTAATGGTTTTCACTTAGTTGAGGGGTTACTATTGCAATGTATATTTGTCTGTTGCTGCGTAGTGACAATGGACTATTGCTTCTTAGCATCCAGTCAAGTTTTTTAAACTTTTAAACTTGCACTTCTTGTTTAATATTAATTATTAATGTTCTAAAAACATACAAATATTACAAACTGTTGCTATTCTTTTTGTATAAATTAGTATACATTATTTCCTACATATGTACATACATTTAGTTTTACAAATATGTATATTATTATTCAAAATGTATTATATTAAAAAAAAAATTAATATGATGAGAATTTAAAATGTAATATTTTTGTCTGATTAAATAATTAATAATACATAGATTAAACTAAAATATTACAAACATTTTCAAAATGTTTAAATAAATTAATTTCATAATATGTGATAACAAAGTAAAGAACACTAAATATATACATCCCATATTAAATGTTACACAACTAACTCAAATCTTACTTTCCCAGCATAATTAATCACGAGAACAAATCAAAGACAAAATTTCAGATAAGTTGCCATCAAGAATGTGTCACAAATCATTTGCCCCTCGAGTGTCAGGCCCCACCTTTTCGGTGGAGGAAAGTGGAAGTGATATTAGTGCAGTCGTAGATAAATAGAAAGCCACACAGAAATTGAAACAGTTGCTTGGAAAAATCAAAGACGAGAGGCAACCAATCTTATTTGCCCCCCAAAAACAACAGCCACTGATCCCTGAAAACCTGGCCTCGTGTAATACAATCCGTGCGTAACTGCAATTACTTAGTACGTTCCGTGAGTGTCTATGTATCTGTGTATCTATGCATCTCTGTATCTTTGCGTCTGACGGATGCAGGCGCAAGAGGTGAACAAACTCTGCTGCGCATGCGTCGCCTGTCTCTGTGGTTTCTCCTCCATGCTCCGTGCTCAACACCCTACCTATACGATATGAAATATTTGTGTCCATTTCCGTCCGTGCGACAGCTCCTGTTGCCGAGTTGAATGAACTTCGCACGAATCCTGACATCCACAGAGACTTGTTGCCACTGACTGACAGTGGGTACAGTTGCTGGGCTGTCTGAGAGCTGTGTGTTTCGTTATTTAAGTTTTATTTCTATTTTTTGTGGTGGAATTAAAGATTTGTTAATCAAAAATCAATTTCATTTTCTTTGCCTATGTCATTTGTATTGCTAGCCTAATCTCATTTATTCTATTAATACAAAGGGTTTTCGGGCTTTTAGCTATGCTTTATAATATTACAATTATATTAAGAGAGCTACACTTGGTATATAACTTTGAACTTATATTATTCCTATTTTACTGATTACTATATTTTTTTATAATTATCTAAAACTTAAAACTAGAAAACTTAACTAAAACATAAACTTGAAATATTTTCTGTTCTATACTTTGTACTATATAAATTAATTTGAAATTTTCACTTACAAGAACTATCACTTTTATACTTCTCTAAACAGATTTGTCAGCGAAAGGAAAACAGTGGGATTTGCATATTGCCGAGCTCCATAGAAATAGACAGACACAGCGTCTGCCGAGGTAAGAAATCTAACAGAGAAGTGACGGACCCGTGTCGACTGCACGTCCAATACGGCTGGAACTATTTTTAGACAGCTCTCGTCTTCGTCTTCGTCTTCGTGCTGATCTGCCTATCTTCCCTGGCCTCGTCTAGTTAGGAGCCGAGGGTCTCTTGTTGCCGAGGGCTGATGCTTGGGGCTGCACACAGTGGCGCAGCTCGAGCATCAATTCAATTGCATTCCAACGCGCGTTCGGTATAGAAAGAGAGAAAGAGATACGGCAGCCAATTCGAAACGGATATAGATATTGATATACGTATACGATTTCCAAAAATTAATGCTGTGCCTTGGATTATCAGTGAGTGTGATTTATACGAAATTTTACCATTAGTGATAAACAATTGTGCTCGGTTCCTAATAAAACAAACCAAAAAATATCCAAAGAGGATAACTCATATAAACATATAAATAAATTTAGTGTTAAAACTCATATAATAAATATCTTAATGCACAAACATAAAACAAATCGGCGAAGATTTTGGAATTTACTCTATTTCTAAAATTATTCAAAACGGAAAGGAATATATACATTTTTAGTTTAAATATATTTATAAAGGTATGTATGAAATTATTATTGGATTAAAAATTAATAATATTTAAAACATAAATTTTATATATTTAATATGAGCTATTTATT